GCCCCCCCCCCCCCCCCCCCCCACTGCTGTATGGGGCAAACTGCAAGCCACGCCAGCAATGCTAGCTCTTGCTGGATAAGGTGACTGAACACACACTCTGGGACACAGGGATCTCCCCACAGGACAGTCTCAGGATACAGCCCCGTCTCTGCTATTCTCCACAGGAAGCTTGCTTGGCAGGACATGCACCCCAGCCCCTCTCCACACATGGCTTTACTGTGTGTGCCTGTCCTCTGCACTCTGGCAATAGCAGCTCAGGTGTGCACAGCAGCCACTGCTCTTCTCCTGATTCAGCAAGGCAAAGGGCTGGGGAACCACTTACCATCTGATGGTGATGGCTGTAAGGGATGTTTGTTTCTTGGAAAAATGCACTGAGCGCGGTCTGCAAAGAGGAAGGAAGAGATTTGTCATTGGGGCTGTGAAGGAGGCATTTGCTTTGCTCAGCCTGCTACAGCCCACATGCTGGGCCTCACACACCAAGACAGGCTACAGGACCAGGGCCTTAGGACACTGCTCTGCTCTTGGATCAGCACAGCTGGTTCTTGCCTACCAACACCCTGCTCACTGGAGCATGGGATTCCAGAAAGATCATGAAGAAACGCTAACCAGTGTGTCAAAATCCAGGAATCTCCATCAGCTTCAGCCCCTTGTGTGTACTAAGAGCCCCAATGCAAAGGACCCCGCTGAGTACTGGCTTCGACACCCTGCCAACACCCAGCATTGCCTCCTTGGGCAGTACAAGCTGCCTCACAATAGCTGTCTCACTCCTACTTCTCTGTGTGAAATATACAGATAGGTAAGGCATGGTGCATAGGCAGTTGCTCCTGAGTTTCTGAAGAGCAAAGTGTATTTGCTGTCTGGTTTCATGTTAGACCAACAGATACCATTATTATGCACACAGGTACTACTACTTCATCCAGTGGGAAAAGGAGTCACTTCTCAGGTAGAGCCCAGCAGGTTTGTACCTGCTTACAGCAATTTCATGCAGTTGTTTAGCACAGAAGGCGAAGAATATCAAATCCAACTGGGGTGGCAGGGGGCATTTAGAGCAAGGGCTAGATCTGGACAAGAGAATCAGGGTTAGCATGCAAACTCTCATGGAAAGTGCTAGAGCAGGGGTTGGCAACCTACAGCCCCACAGGTCAAATCCAGGCCACAGAGTAATTCTATACAGCCCACAAAGTTGGGGTTCCTGTAGTGTTTTACTGGCAGGGGGCTTCATCCATGCATCAGGGAGAAGCAGTGGCTATGTCAGATAAGCCAGCCCACCTCAGACCGACCTAGGTTATTTTGTCCCACTGATCCTGACACATTACTGACCTCTGTGCTAGAGGATCTAGAATAATCACAGTTAGCCAAGACCTTAGTGTTGTCTCATCCCAGCATATAACATCCCTAAAGCCATGCTGGGCTCTGGCATACTCTGTCAGACACACAGGGACAAGCCCTTCCCACCAGGTTGGCAAGAGCCCATGCCACACGGAGGAGGTCTCCCACCTAAGCTTCACTGCAGGATCTGAAGGCTCAGAATGCGTGAAAGGCACAAATGCATGGCCGTGTCTGTGCAGGTGCTAAGGCTGAGCTTGTTGCCAGCCCAGCCTCATCCTTCTCCTCTGACATTTGAAGGAACATTTAAGTAAGTTGGATAAAAATGGGAGTGTGGGAGACTAAGGAGGATAATCACCCAAGTGGATTCAGATAAGAGTGTCTTGGACAGAAGGGTCTGGTCCTTCTCTCCCTTGATGTATATCAGGAGTAACTTCAGCCAAGACATTGTTTTACACTGTTGAAGCAGAAAATAGATTCCAGCCCGCAGTGCTTTACTGTATGTTGTATGTGCACGGGACTTCCATCAGAACACTTATCACCGAAATACTCTGGAAGTGATCAATTCAGCCACTACTAATAAAACAGCAGTAGTAGCATCCAGCTCTCAGATAAGTTTTCTCACCAAAATCCCTTACAGATCCTCAAAGGGTTCTCTGCCAGGTTTCACTGCAGCCACCACCAACAGGCTGTTACCTCTGGGGCAGGACCCAGCAGCTGTTAACCAGCAACTCAATAAAACAGTTTTAGAAAGACTGTGAAGGGAAGGACACTGCCATAGAACACAGGGTGCCCAGTTTGCAGCATTTAGGGCCCACAATGGCAACTTGTCAGGCTTGCAGCTAATTAGCATCTACACCAGGGGCGGGCAAAATCCGGTCCACCCAGGCCACTCTATACGGCCCGCTGGGCACCTAAAAAGTTTAGATAATTAATATTTATCTGCTCCTGGCTGCCTGTCAAAGATGACAAGACTCCGGAGCAAAGCAAGCCGGCCAGCCAGCCCCCTCCCCACCCTACCCCCAACTGGAAGCCTCTGCCAGAGGCCGCTTTCACTGCTTCCCTGCACACTGGCCTCCAGCACCATGTGGCTCCTGGCTGCATCACCGGACTGTGGGAGTACAGGGCTGCACCAGTACCTTGGGGCCAAGAGCAGGAAGGGGTGTGTGTGTTCATATAGGGCAAGTCCCACACACACACACCCCACCATACACATGCACCCAAACCCCGCTTTGCACTGCCATACACGTAGACCCCCACAGCCCCTCACACACCCCAGCCACTCTCCCCTCCACAAACCCCATACTCACCCACATCCCACATATCCACACTTACATGCTCCCGCACCCCACACCTACCCACCCCCCCCACAAAACCCCCACACTCCATATACCCACAGCCCCTCACAAACCTATACCCACCCCCCATACCCCCCCCCACAGTATACAACAGCTTAAAATGAAGTTTTACCCTTATGCTATCATCATCTCTGTGTATACTACACAAACACATGTTAATCAGGACAAAAATATTTTTTGAAATGAAATTAATGAATGCTGTAGACGTTTGATTTTTACAATATAATTTGGTATTTTTCTGGTTCCAAGATGGCAAAGCCCCTTGCAGAAAGGAGTATTTCTGGGGGCAAGGGGAGGAACTTCTGGTAGCAAAGGCCAGGGGGAGTTAGGGGGTGGGACTTCTGGTCCCAAGATGGCAGCCAGGGGGCAGGGCACCAGTCAAGGGGCAGGGCTACCCATGCAGCCCTTGACAGCTTGCCACAATGTGGTAAGCCACCCTCTGCCCAAAATAATTGCCTGCCCCTGATCTACACAGACATCTTGTACAGTGGTTCTAAGCACCAGCAGGCTAGCCTCTTGGGCAGGTCTGGGGAGGGAGCAGGGCTGCCAACAGTCTACGAGCTTAGCCCTAATCTTTTAAAATGTCTATAAGGTCCGTAAAAAACTAAGAAACCATAAAGATAAAAGATCTGTCATCAGACTTTGGTAGGATGCAAATGCTGACATGCGGACAGAGCAAAGCAGCACTGTCTTGAGTTTGAGGTATGCCACAGGGAACTCTCATCAGGGTTTTGTGTCCCACCGAAGCCCCCCCTTTCCCCAGCCATGTGTTGCTGCTGCATCCTGGCTGTTGCCTGACTGTTAACAGGGACCACGTGGCCCCAGGCAGTCTGAGGTATGGGACAGGACAGGGTGGGGCAGCCAGGATGGAGCTACAGGGCTGGAAGCAGGGAGAGGCAGCAGGTAAGGATTCTGTGCCGTGTTGAGAGGATCAGGGCTGCGACTGGTGGGGGGTCAGCACAGTGCGAACTGCTGTCAGGGATGCCAGTGTGTGGAGTTGAGTATGGGACCTCTGGGGTGGGCATAGTATGGTGGAAAACTACTGCTGCAGTCAAGGAAAAACTTTGGTTGGCATTAAACCCTTAAATTTGACCCAATCCTTGTTACTACCATCCAGGGCCTGGCAGATGTTTTACATAATGTAGGTGTAACACTTATGTCAATTAAAAAAAAAAAAAAAGTTTGGTTGTCAGTAAAAACCTCTTTTTTGGGTTGGCAACCCTGGGAAGGAGAATAGGTATGGGGACAAAAACTCTTTGGTGCCCTCTAGAGGTGAAGGGGAAGAAGTCAGGGAGCATTCCTACCTACCAGGCGTGTCTACACATGCATAGTTACCGTCTACACGGACATGCCCGTATTGTGCAGTAACTATGGTGACTTACACCAACTTGGGCATAAATTTGCTACCTGCATGACTCCCGAGTAGTTACTGAGCAGTAAAGCACGTGTAGATGCTTTACTATGCAGTAACCCTGTGTGTGCGGACTGACTTGGGACCAACTTTAGTCCCAAGTCAGTCTACACACAATGTTACTGTGCTGTAATGCCTGCATGTGTAGATGCCAGCATAAAAAACACTTACTGCGCTGTAAATGCAAGTGTAGACATGCCCACTGACAGGCTAATCTGAATATACCACACTCTGACTTTCCCTATGAGCAAACAGAAGAACACTGGGGGCTTTATTTTCAATTGCATTAATGTTTACTAGTCTGCCCAAACTGCCAGAAATTTGGACACTTTTCACACTTGAAAGAGGAGCAAAGCACACACCTGGAAGTTAACTGCTGGGGGAACTGGGCCTCCCTAACCACAGCATTACTGGGACAAGTATAGAGAGTAAGAATGAAGAAAACTGCAGGAGCATAGGATGGTGGCAGTTTACCAACTGAAGAAGACACTTCTGCTTGTAAGAAGTGGGCTGGGTCAGGTCAAGTTGGGCAAGGACATGAGCTTGGATTGTAGCTGGCCTCTGTTAGCAGCCTACTCTACTTATGTTGCATTATGTAGCAGAACTTTTTGATACTAACAAAACTCTGGGAGGGGAAGCCAACTGCTGGAGAGCTTTTAGATGCCTCAGGCATCCAGGATGGAGGCACACATTGCTCCTAGCTCCTGGTTAGCAGACCCATCAGCTCCAAGTGGCTCTGCAACTGCCTACAGATCAAAGAACTAAGCAATGGAGCCATCATCATCTCCTTCTGGCATCACTATGCACCCTAGTCAACTCAACTGTGTTTATAATGTTGACATACTGCATGAACTACCTCCCTGAGACAGGAAAGAAATACTGCGATAAGGGGAAATCCAAGCTCCCTGGCAATGGGACAACACAGAGATTGTTTGATACCTGCTAAATAGTTCCATCACCTCTAGCACCGTATCCCATTTTACCTCTGACCTCCATGCCAAGTGAACTCACAATATGGATACAAATGACTTACCTAGCTACACTTGCACTGTATCTGGTACTTTATGACATTATGGAATGAAGGAGACTGAGGGTGTTGCAGGGGATCCTGAAATGAGGGTGGTACCCAGGGAACATGAGGGATGGCAGCAGGCAGCACACCCCTGCTAAGTGCAGTGAGCTCAGCTTGCACAAGCAGCACAGTGTGTGACCCCCCCTAGTCATAACTGGTTAAAATAGGACCTTTGCATTATTTGCTCCAGGCCCCAAAGGTCAATAATGGCACCTGGCCAAGAGTGACCCATAGGTCCATAACTGTCATCCCCACAAGGTGCTTGTTGGCTATATTTGCAAGCAATAGATCAGAGGATGAAGCAGGGGGTATAAAGGGCAGCAAGCTTTTGCATGCAGGCAGCAATACAGAATTCAATAACCCATGTCAGAACTGAGCTGGGAACCTGAAGTTCTCACATATGCACGCATCTGATTCCCCTCTCACTCTGCTTCTACTGCAGTGTCATCCTCCTGAATTCAATGGAGACTCTAGTTCAGACAAACAAGAGAAACAGGACTCAAGCCCTGGACATGCTTGCAAATTTTCCCTTGTATTTCACAATTGGTCTCATGGACTCTCTTTAAATGTCTCACTGAAACCTTTCCTAGTTCCCTGCTGTTGGCTGGGTGGAGCTGTGGCCCTTTCTTGAACTGTCATAATTAACACCACCTGGTGCACACTGGAACTTGGGGACATGGTAACACTTAGACCAGTTCCTCAGCCACATCCTTCCAGAAGAAGAGGTGTGGCACACCCAATCTAGTTTGGACACATAGCCAGGCTTATCCCCAAAACTGTAGCAACAAAGACAACATCCCTGCAGCAAACTGCAAACACACAGGGAGAAAAAAAATGTTCCAGGTCCCTATCAAATGGGAGGGAACAGAGTACTAGTGATATTGCTGGAGATTGACTCTTCAAAGCACACAATTCTCAGAGCCTGCCAGATCCCATGACTGAGAAACAGCATAAATGGTTGCGCTGTGAGGCTTGCCTGAATGTGTTACAGACTTTGATCATCTAACACTAAAACAATATCATCCTTGGAACTGCTTCCCCTCCCACATCCAACATGCAACTGCCCTCCTAAGTTACATTCCTCTTGGCCCCAGATATCAGATACCTAGTACCACTTCTGGAACTGCTGAGTCTGACAGGGTTGTCCCCTAGGTCTACAGGACACTCCAAGCACCATGAAATACAACTGGATCCAAGCACTGTAAGAACTCTTGGACAACAGCCTCTAAACAGGCTAACAAAACCACCAGAACAAATTAGCAACTCCCTGCTGCAGTCATGTGAGACTGCCCCACTCCATGTGGTGTTCGGCAGCCAGTCAGCACCTTTCTGTTGCTAAGTAGACATGTCCCAAGTGCTATGGAAGTGGCTTGGTGTTCATGGGTCTCATTCTAAGCCCATGGATCTGGAATCTAGACGAAGCTGTGGGAGACTGTATATGTAAGGGTTTGTGTAGACAGGGGCTAGCCAGCATAGCTATCCCAAAGTAACACTTCTCAAGGCACACCCGTATAGCAGGAAT